CAGACAAGCAGGAAAACGAAAAGTTTTCGAGCTGACATCGGGAGAAAGATATTCATTTACTTTCCAAAAAGATCAATTTGGAAACAAATTTTAAATGGTTTTTGACCCCATTTTGCCCTATGTGAATCTGGCGGCTTAAAAATTGCTTTGGGGTATCAAAGTAACATAAAGTGGTATCAATAAAATAGGAAAAAGATTATTATTATTATATTAGATAAATTGGTGTTGCGTCAGTGCACTGCTATTCCCCGGCTAAAACTGATTACGAATGCAACTTAAAACGATTACATTATAATGAACAATGCAAATATTGGAATATCGATACGCGTGTGCCATTGAAATGCTATTTTTCATAGTAGTTAATATTCGAAATTTATTTCGAAATTGAGGACGTTCGGATAATCAGTTCACTTGCAAGCAGACGTTATTAACAACATTATTTATCTCTTGAAGTCGTTTGGCTGGGTTCAACAAAAATAATCAAACGTTTCCAATCAGTTTAACCCACAAATTCCAAGCCCATGGGCAGAGTGATGAAAAATTGGAACAATTTTGCCGAGAGCTGAAAGTGTTGGAGAGAGATTTTTAAGCAACTAAATCAGGTAGGATAAAGATGAATTTTATGGAAAAATGTACCTTCGTAAACTTTTCCTGAGAACAGGAAACAACCAACAAACAAGAAATATATCACAAGAGTAACATGTTGGTTTGGAGCTCATTAAGCAATAAACAAAATCAGAACCTCACCTGTGAGTTTTCTGCAAGAGGCGATTTTTGAAACTGTGATATGCCGCTTCCGGACCCTCTTCGTTGATGACGGTTTTAATTCGTCCATGGGAAGGAACCAGATGTTTCCTGGACAGGCCCAAGTCCATCTGAATATCCATTATTAACATCAACGTGAATAACACGGCAATAACACTCGCGCACAACACAAATCGTTCTTTCATTCTTAAGCCGCTCAGCAACATTTTGCGAAAATTGAAATTGTCTTTTGCAGCTGGTGGATTCTGAAGCACTTCTGAGGTTCTGCTGTCTAGTTCATTCGATTGCACCAAGTTCGTATTTGCAGATATCACAGCGATTGATTCGTTATTAGTGTCAGTGGTTTTAAACGCGGTCACGATGTTTTTATTCGGCAAATCCGCATCAGCATTATTTGCTATTAGCAAATCTTCAGGTGGCCGGCTGTAGTTAGTTCTCTGTCTTGGCTGTTCTCGGCTGTTGATAGTCACATTGTCAGGGTTGTTGTTCGACAAAGGTTTCCTTAGAACTAACTCGCTTGTTGGGCTATTAGTGAAAACATGCGGCTCTCTAATACTATTATCACTAAGTGCACTTGAGAATACCGCCTTATCTCCGGTCTGAGATAATAGAGATTTACTTATCGAAATACTGTTATTATTGTTGTTATAAGTAGAGTTTCGACTAGGAGCCCTATTTTTGCTGCATAGTCCCACAGTCTTATTAGTCACTTTCAGCAAAGTTGCGGCTTTATTGTCTAGCTTCTTGATAATGGCCGAGAACTTGGACACTCTCGCTCCTCTATGTTCCAGGCTGCTATTATTCACATTCGGTGAAGACTTCGTGAATGTGACTTTGGTAGTCTGCACTATTGACCTATTGGTATTTCCAGTCTTGTGCGGACAGTCAACCGACTTCGACTTGGATAAAGACGGCGGATTTTTTCTTCTGAGGATCGGACTGTTGTAATCATGAATATAAGTGGCATCTATATTGGACTCGCTTTCCTCTGAGTCGTGGTAGGTGAGCTTTCTTGAGTATCTTCTCGCTAGGATGATGGAATTTTCCGGTCGTATTTCGATGGGACGAATGCACAGGTGATGTTCGTTGTAGGGAAGTGTAGGGTTGGCCTGACAAATTGGCACCAAGGCTGCGGAATTGCACCATTGCAGCCCTTGTTCGATTTGCCTATCCAGATTATTTTATTCGATAGGGAAAGAAGTGTTTAATCTGAAATAGAAGACTATCAGATATTATTACGAACTAAAAAATAATATTTTATTGAATTAACAGATGTCCTATTTTGAGCGATTTTGTTACATCTGTTTTAGGTATGCACATTTAGACGTTCCTTAGGTCGAAAGTTAAGCATGCACTTAGGGATTTTTGCCCGAAGAAATCGAAGAACTATTTTCCCGAAAAAACCCAAATTTCTCAAAATGGCTTAAATTCTATCCCAATTTCAGCGCCATGAAGCGAGTGTTTCAATAACCTCTAGACTATTTAGATGTGAAAGTGTCGAATGTTTTGACCCATTTTAAGCGTTTTTGAACCGTTTTTTTGACAGAATCTTTCGCATTATCGAACTCAAACGAGTGCTTTGTTCAAAATCTCAACATTTAGCTCAAAAAATACAGTTATGAAAAAATTATTATAGGAGAAAAAAATGAATGCCTCTGCATTTGTTCCAAGAAACACTCAAATCGCTCAAAATACTCAAAATAGAATTTGAGATTCTATACGAATTTCATTGCCAAGAAGCGAGGATTTCAACAACCTGATTAAATAACTTGTTAGTCCTTTAATATCCGAAATGATCAAATATTTTGACCCATTTTAAGCGGTTTTCATGGGGTCACGATTTTTGATCGACGATATTTTCCGTATAATCTAGTCGAACAATATTTATGTGCATATGGGGAGCTTCTTACATAACAATCTAAAATTTCACCTCAAAAATTGAAATTGAATGTGAAAATTTTATTTTTGTAGAAACAATGACGAAATTTTTCGTTCGCAAAAATAAAAATTCAGCTCAAAAAACATACATGTGAAACTTTGCTTTTATGGAGGAAATATTATGGAATGGTACCTTGAAAACATTTGTTCAAAAAATCTGAAATCGCTCAAAGTGCCGCAAATTCCATACGAATTTCATCGGCCAGAAGCGGGGATTTTAACCAGCTCATAAAAAACTCGCTTTCGCGGAACTTTCCAGGTCCAAAATAATAACATTTTTGGCCCATTTTAAGCGGCTCTTCCAGATTATCGACTCAAACAACCTCTAAATGCATGTTGATGAGCTTCTTCGATCGAAATGTAAAAATTCGGCTCAAAAAACGCACATGTAAAAATTTGATTTTTGAAGAAAAATGCCTACTTTGGAACCTACTATTTGTTCAGAAAAAGTCAAATCGCACAAAATGCCTCGAATTCTACACCATTTTCACCGCCATGAAGTGAGGATGTCAACAATATAATTGAAAAACTCGTTAAACCATTCAGATGCAAAATAATGAAATGTTTTGGCTCGTGTTAGCGCCTTGTGAGCGGTCAAGAAAATCAAGTGAAAATTATTTTGGCCGGAAATTTCACAAGATCTTAAACTAAACATTGAGTTTAATTAAGCTGGTTAACAACAACAACTTTTAAATCAAAGAAAAAACACAAAAATATCATCAGTGAGCATGTTGAAAATATCCGAATTCTAAAATCGTCACAAGGCGTGTTCGTTAGTAAAGTTTAAGTAACCGAATAATTCGTCCCCAAACCTCGGAATGTAAACTATTGCCGAAATTTCGCAATTTGATTTAAACTATGCTAAACACCGCTTAATACAAAATGCTTAGGGAAAACAGCTCTTTATCCAGCGTTCAGCGCATTAAAATTTCAAGTATACCCATCATAAAACGGCTCCTGCCGCTTGCAAGAAAATAGTTCAGCGGGAGTATTGCAATTACTTTACCTATGTTCATGCTGCGCGTATAGTCCGGGATTATACAACTAATTCCCCGGTTTATGTTAATAACCGAAACTAACTTGGCAAACTCATAAACAGTAACCCCTGGTGCCATTTAATATTTATACGGCTCCAGCAAGATGATGACCGGGTCATTTTACTGGAAGTGGTTAATCAAAAACTCATCGCAATTTTAATCTGATGATGATGATGATGATATTTTGGAAATGTTTCTCAAGACTTGTACAAGCAAGCATGAATGCTTCGATCACAATCACTAAAACGAGGCAAAAGTAAAGTTCCAAGCCTCCAATTTAGAGCATTTTAGAAGAGATTTTAACTGCTGTTTCACAAATTCAAAAACTGATTGTTTTAGTGTTCTGTTCCATATGCGAAATCGTGCCAAAGCCAAAGAGTGGATACCAAATCAGAGAACTGAAAAAAAGAACAAAACCAATTTGGAACATGTTAATTGGCTTAAGTCCAAAGCTCCTAGCAAAAAGTTATTTATCCACAACTAACGGGAATAATTGGTTGGTCTCGTTGGCATATTTCACCTCGTCGTTTTAATTCCCCTCCCTGAGCCCCATTTTGGCGCAGTCAAAGTATTGGTATACATCGCATTATTGATTTAGATACATCAAGAGAGGATTAGCTCGAACTTTTAGGTCTAGGGATCAACTATAGTCGCTTAACAGAGTGCTTTTTCAATGGGGAAAAACACGTCAATAGTGTCTTAACTTTTAGTCAATTTTAGCGACTTGTATAATTTTTTATCAACAACCAGAAGGACAATCAATCCTCCAAAAGTTTTAAGTAAACGAGTAAAACAAGGTTTAGTTTCCTAAGCAGCTACAACTGGGTTTTTTGCAAACTTCCTTTTGG